CCAGCCCAGTAAGGTTCTGGGAGCCAAACATGGGGGAAGATGACCCCGTAGGAGACAGAGGGGGTAGTAAGGCAGGACGCTGAACTCCTTTCCTTTGCTTCTTTCCTTCTTCAGTCCACAGTGGCCACATCTGTGACCCTTGCTGTCCCTCACCTGCCCCTGCTGGATCCAGAATGGCCTCCTGGTGCTACTGCGTCTTCTACCTCCTGGTACCTGAACCTGGGGGATGGTGGGGGGGGCTGGGGGGAGGCAGCCACGGGGACTCAAAGCTGCTGGGTTCCAAGTGGGCACCTCTGAGGTCATTGTGAAGGTCACATGAGATAAGCCCTTAGCAATAATAATAGAATAAAAGCATCCACTGGTGCTGCACCTTTTACATTCCCTCATCAGCTTGTTTATTCCTCACACAGTGGGGGGAGGGGCCGGGGGACTGGACAGGCTCAAGGCAGTGAAACGCCCTGCCCAAGATCCACTCTGGGGGGTGGGGAACTTGAACCCAGGTCTGACTCCAAAGCTTGCAGCTTCCAATGCATCCTGCTGGAGCACACAGTAGGTATTCAATAACTGACCTGACCCAGCCCCGACCTGTCCTCTTCTTTCTCAGATAAGGAGTCTCTCTGGGACCCCCTCCAACTCACCAGCTGAATCAAGGAGCTCCTGGGTGACAGGTTGGTATGAGGGCCCCAGAGGGGCTCCCCCTTACCCCAGCTCAGCCAGCCTGTGGTCCACCTGGTGCACTGGCCTCTAAGGCAAAGGAAGGAGAAAGATGCCATTTAGTTCAACCCCATCATCCCGGGCCCTGGGCTGAAGGTTTCACTTGTGTCCATCTTATTCTTGCCACCATACAGATGACAAAACAGGCTCAGCAAAGGGACTAGACCTGCCAGGTCACAGAGCATTCAGCCTTGAATGAGTCCTAGTTCAATGTCCACGGCCAGCCCCACTCCAAGGGTCACATGGGCACACACTGCTCTCCACACTGTCTCTCCTCTGACCCTGCAGCTCCAGTGGGCCCCAGTGAGGTGGTGGAGACTACAGATGGGGTGTGCAAGTCTCCAGGGCAGCAGCTGAGCTGGTGGCAGGCTCAAGAGTCCTGTGAGCAGAGGTTTGGCCACCTGGCACTCGCGCCCCCACCTGAGGTCCTTGCTCCACGGCTGCCCAACCCCATCTGGGTGGGCCAAAAAGAGGCCCTCCTTCGGAGACCCCCGAAAAGACGTGAGTGTGGGCCCAAGGCCTGGGAGGAGGAGGTAGGGGGCAGAGGCTTTGGCGACCTCCAGAGAGGGAGCCCACAGTGACAGTCCTCTTGGGTGGAGCCCAGAAGTCCCCGTCGCATCTCCAGGTTCCCTTGTCCTGGACTAAAATAGAGGGTTGACAGCCCGGGTATGGGCCCTGGAGCCCCCATTTCTTCCTTCCCGAGAGAGGGAGATACCCCAAAGCCCAGAAGGGGCCCTGCAGCTGCGCCAGTGGGTAGCCAGAGGCTGTGCTTAGCTGGGGACACTGAGGTCCCGGCCCGCATGTCCCCGCAGGCGCGCTCACCACGGCCGCGCTGGTGTTCATGGAGCGGACTGCGGACAAGGCGGCGCGGCTGCGGACGCCCCTGCCCGCGCTGGGGGCGCTGACCGCGTGC